ACACCTCGTGATCGCATAGGCTGGTGTGCTTCTTCCATGTGGGCTTTGTTGCTTCTGAGCTTGATGGCCACTTGATTACCTTCAAGGGATGACTTTTATTTCTTTTTGTTGTCCAATAGCTCTTCTAGTACTATATTAATAAAGAATGGTGATAAAGTGCATCCTTGTCTGGTTTCTGTTTGCAGAGGAATTCTTTTGATTTCACCCCATTGGCCATTGGCTTTTCCTATGTGGATGAATCTCTCTTCTATTCCTAGTTTATTGAATACTTTTATTAGGAACAGATGTTGGATTTTTTCAAATGCCTTTCTGCATCAATTGATATGATCACATAGTTTGTTTTATTTATTTTATATGGTGGATACCATTGATTTTTTTTTTTTTAATGTTGAACCATCCTTACATACCTTGTGTAAATCCCACTTACTATGATGTATATTTTTGTTGTGCTATTCTATTGGGTTCTATTGGCTATGAGTTTGTTAGAATTTTTGCATATATGTTCATGAGGAATATTTGTTTATAGTTTCCTATTCTGGGGATATCTTTGACTGGCTTGGGTATCAGGGTTATATAAGTTGCTTTGTAAGTTGAGTTCTTGAATTTACTGTCCTTTTCTATATTCTAGACTAATTCTAGAACTAGTGTCAAATCTTCTCTGAATACTTGATAGAATTCCCTGGTGATGCTGTCTGTCTTGGGCTTTTATTTGTTGTTAAGAATTTTTAAATGACCAGATCTATTTATATTTGAGTTATATCTTTTGTATTTTTTCTAAATCAACCTGCATTAATTAAGGTAGGTAGTGTGTTTCTAGAAATGCATGCATTTATTCTAGATTTTCAAATTTGTTAGAGTACAGTCTTTTATAATATTGTGTTATTATCTTTTTTCCCCAATTGGTTCTATTGTGTTGTCATCCATCTTATTGCCCATTTTTTCACCTGTTTGAAATGAACTTTTATGTAACTAAAAACTCCACATCCACTTCAGTTTTATTTTTCTGACTTTTTAGCCACTCAAAAATTATTAAGGTAAGGAATCTGGAGAGTTTTTAAGACTATGAGCCTTCACTCTTTTTTTTTTTTTTAAAGCATATTCTATATAGTTGCACAGCCTGTCTCAGCAAATGAAATCAGAAATAATATCCCTTTAACCCCACCACCACTACCACCATGGACATGGTTCTCTTTTCTTTTTTTCTCTTGTATCCCTCCTCCCTCCCTCTGTAATTTCCTACCCACCCCCTCTGTGTCCCCACCTCTATGCCTGGCTTCCTCATAGTCTTTAAAGTTATCTTTTGATGAAAAAAAAAAAGCATTTCTTTTTCTTTGTTTTTCCTTACACAGATGGTGTCATTAAATATTTACTTTTATAAGATTGACTAACTTTGCTAAGCATATGATCTCTCTAGTTTTGTACATGTCTTGTGGTGTTTAAGAGAATGTCATTGTTCCATTGTACCAGAGGGTTTTTTTTATCCGTTCTTTTATAATTGGAATTTTTGGTTGTTTCCATGTTTTTCTTATTATAGCCCATTTCATTTATTATTCGTGATATTTGCATTTTATCCTCTTCCTTTGTTAAGTTTATCCATGGTTTGCCATTTTTCAATTCTTTCAAAGCACCACCCTCTTGCTTTATTGATTTTCCCCCTACTTTTGATTCATTTATTTTTGCACTGATCTTTATTATTTCTTTTTTTCTGATGATGGGGGTGGTGGTGTTATTTTTCTGCTCTTTTTCTAATAAAGATATTGAGCTAAAGTGTTGATTTGGGGTCTCCTTTTTGGATGTGATTGATTAGAAGTTCCCTCTCAGTACTACTTTTACTGTGTCCCAAATGTTTTGAGGACACAGCAAAAGTAGTACTTTTAGTTAATCCTGTATTAATTAAGGTAGGTAGTGTGCTTTTAGAAATGGGTGCATTCTAGATTTTCAAATTTGTTTGTACAAATTTGAACAGTCCATTATAATATTGTTATCCTTTTATTTTTTATTGAGGAACTTTAAAACGACACTTTGTACTTCTTCAATTAATCGGTAGTTTTTAAGCAGAATGTTATTTAATTCCCACACATTTGATTTTTAAAATTTTCTTATTATTGACTTAATTTTATAGCATTGTGGTCTGAGTAAATGGTTTGTATTATCTCGACATTTTACAATTTATTAAGGCTTACTTTGTGACTTAAAATATAGTCTGTTCTGATACATGTTATATGTGCCCTCAAAAAGAATGTATATCAAGCAAAGACCTTTTTTTTTTTTCATGCAAAGACCTTTTAAAAATTATTTTCTTCCTAAATTTAAGAGTTTTCATTTTCTTTTGTGTACTCTTCAACCTCCTACACATTCAATTATTTTGTATCTAATCTGTTCCTTCCGTTAGTTTATTGTTGTCTTCATTGTGGGGTGTCTCTTTCCAAGTTTTCCGTCTGTAAGTCTGTTTCACTTTGAGTACTGCTTTTAGTGAATTGATTTCTGGATGGTGGTGTATTGCATATTGAGTTCAGGTTGTTTTTGTTGTTGGTTTTCTGCTCAAGGAATTCTCCTTAGTATTTTTGGTATAGTTGGTCTTGTTAATGCAATGTCCTTTAATAGTTTCCTTGTCTGAAAAGACGATTTCTTCTCATATTTAAGGAATAATTTTGCTGGATGTAAGGTAATTGGATGGCAATATTTTTTCTTTCAGAGATTCATATATATCCTTTCATTGCCTTTCTGTATGCATGGTTTCTATTGAAAAAATAGGAGATTATTCTTATTGTTTCTCCTTTTCAGTTAACTTTCCCCACCCCCAACCCCCCCAAAAAAAATTCTCTCAGGATTCTCTTCTTGTCCTTGATATTGGAAAGCATGCCATGGTGAATTATTTGGGGGGTCATTCCTACCAGGGTTGCTTTCAATCTCTCGAATGGTTATTTTCTCTTTTCATGGTGTTAGAAACATTTTCTCCCAGTCATTCCTGGATTACTTTCACTCTAGTTTTGTTTTGTTTTTGCTGGCATGTTTGATTCTTCTTGCTTTGGAATGTTCTTAAGGCATAAGCTAGTTCTCTTGATAGTCTCCCACAGAATTATTCACTCTCAATTTGCTTTTTTAATGGTTGTTCTTGTAAATTGGTCTAGAGAGATTTGTTTTCAAGGTCACTAATTAGACCTTCTATTCCTTCAATTCGACTGCTTTGCTCTTCCAACGTGTTATCTCGTCCTAATACCTTAAGGTTAAAGATTTCTCTCTGGTGTCTTGTATGATTTCTAATTTTTCAGTTGTCCTAAAGATTTCTCTGTAGTATTTTGCTGAATTCTTCTATCTTCTTGTCCCGTTGTTGATGTTTCTTTTCTGTAGCTCCACGTATTGAAAGCACCTGAATATCATTCTTCTGAGCTCCATTACAGGTAGTTTCCATGCCTTTTCCTCCTCAAAAGGTCCCTTGGTTGGTTCAGTGCTTTGGCCACTCCTTTGTACTACCTAAGCATACTTTCTCATGTGTACTGAAATTGTCATCTTCAAGAAAGCATTATTTTTAAGTTTGTATTAGGCTAGCTACTAGTAGCTCTTGAAGGTTGGAGGGGGTGGGGAGGGGGTGCTGGGTTTTGTAACAGCTGACTCCGAGAAAGGATCAATGATAAACAAAATAAGAAGGCACATCCAAATGAGATCAACATACCTCCCCTCTCTCCCCTCTGCCCCTACCCTCCCTCCCCACCCCCACCACACTAAAAACAAAGCCTGAGAAAATGGGGGGGGAGCGGCGTACTAAAAAGAAGAAAAGCCAAAATCACAGAAAAACACTAGATCACAAAATCAGAGCTGCCATTGCTTTTTGTGAAGGCCTCCATCCTAAGACTGATCTTGGTGGTTCCCAGCGGGTGTGCAATGATTGAAGTAGTTGTTTCTCAAGGCAAAAAGCTACACAGAAAGAAGGAAAAGAAAACACCTGAAAGCTCTAGCCAGTTCTCCTGCTGTGGAGGCATTCTAGCCCCAGGGCACTGGAAGGAGTCTTTACCTTTAATCACTGGAGGTAAGTGCCAGAATTGGGTTTATTGCATCCTCTGTCACTGCCCATGAATGACTATGTAAACCTGTGTCCCCTCCAGACCCTAAACCGCTGTAGAGGACTTGGTGAAATTTGGCTTCCCTTTTGTTAGCTTCCCTTACTGTGTGCAATGGTCTGGTCAGGGCTACCTTCTTTGAGCATGTGTTCACAGTCCCAGGTATGAAGGAGGGGTTCTCTATGACATGATTGGATCCTGGGTATTCCACCATACACCCAGCTGATGGGGAGAGCAAAGGAGTGGGGCCCCTCTTTCTTTCTTGGGTGGACCTAAGGTTTTTCTGTGCTGTGGGAGAGTGCTGTTTGGCTGGCAGTTGGCCCATTGAGAACCTACTGCTCTTTCTGGTCTCAATGTAGGGGTTCTACCCATTAATTTTCTCAGTTACTGTTTGGCTCACATATTTCTACTTTCGAGGAGATTCAGAATTCTTGTATATCTGTTTATTTCACATCTGTGTTGCTGTGGGTCAAAGTATCACATCTTTCTGAGCTACATCTTTTATTGAAAGCTTGCAATTTTGAGTGAGTTCTACATATTTCTTCCTTTCTATCCAGAACCTTCTATTCTGTACCTGATCAGATGTTTGGTACTGATAGTCAGGTTTCACCTGATTCTGTTCTCCATCTAGATGGGGCCATTGTCAATTGGGCTTTTAGTCCTGTGGAATAGTTTCTTCTTTGAGTCCTTGGTTTCTTTAATTTCCTTTTTTCCAGATGAATAGAGACCAGTAATTATATCTTCAATGGCTGCTCCCCAGCTTTTAAGACCCCATAATCTCTATGAATTATATCGTGGCAATTTACCAACTTGTCCAAAAAGACCATGGTCCTAACCCTTCAAATCCAGTAAACCAATCCCATAGCTCTCCTCTAACACACATGGGCTCACCATGAGTCAGAATGACTCCACAGCAGCTAGTTTAAGTGATGGAGAAGGAGAGGGAAAGGATGGAAAAGAGAGCAAGTGAGGGACAGTAAGAGAATTATGAAGCTGACAGGAAGAAAACACGTACTATTTTATGATGTCCCTGTTTGAGACCAGTTTTTGATTCTCTTAAATCTCGTGTAATTCTCTTAAATCTCTCTCAGGTAGGAATTGTTACTTTTGTCACATAAATGAGGAAATGAAGACTTAGTGGGATTTGGGAGAGGATGAACTATCCATAGATACATGGAATGAAATGCTCCTGATTGGATTTGATAACCCTAGCATGGATTTAACAAGGAGCTCAGGCCATGTGTCAGTTTTCCAGGAGAAATTTTCCAGAATTCTGGTTATTAGAGCAACACTAACATATGGTTTCTACCATTCAAACATCATTGACCTGTCCAACTCTCCTCTTTAGAACAGTATCCTGGGGGTTCCAAAGATTCATTAGCTTCTGAAGCCCCAGCTAAGAACAGTCCTTAAATTAAGAGTGACCAGCAGCCAACATCACCAGTAGCCGGGAGTATTTCATGCTTCATGGAGTAGTCCCACCCTTTATGATGTATAATCACCTTCCCACTCAGTGTCTCTTTGATCCTGTGAAATGGGGGCTTTTATAGGAAAGATACTGAAACATAAAAAGGTGGGGTGACTTGACCAAGGACACACAATTGGTTAGTAACTAGGTCAGGGTATGAACCTAGGTCTGTCTGATGCCAATCAACCTTTTTTCCTTTGATTTGAATTTGGCAGTGAATTTGGGAAGGGGTGAAGACCTCAAATAGGATTTCCCAAAGTTAATAATTCTGCTGAGCTATAACTTGAAAACACACAGATCCGAGGATAGGGAATAAGAATAGAAAAAAAATGTAGGGCAGAGGATAGTTATTGGGGATCAATTAAAAAAATGGGTAGGGGCCACACATAAGGACAAGGACAAGCCTAACTTCATCTCTTTCTTCCAGTGCCTACCCAAACTGCCAGTACCCCCTCTGCAAAAGACTCTGGCCACTTACCTGCAGTGCATGAAGCATCTGGTGCCTGAGGAGCAGTTCAGAAAGAGCCAAGCAATTGTTCAAGAGTTTGGAGCCCCTGGTGGCCTTGGTGAGGCCCTGCAACAAAAGCTTCTGGAGCGACGGGAGAAGACAGCTAACTGGGTAGGAGGTGTTAGGCTGCTGAGTGTAACTGGCTTGGGAATGGGCACACTGGGGGCAGTGGACCCACGCAGAGGAGGCAGGAGGCAGAAAGGAAAGACAGACAGGTTTGGATGGAGGACAGGGAGGTAACAAGGAGGGCTCAGATGCGGGGACAGAAATGGGTTAACGATGGAAGAGAGATAAGAGACTGTAAAAGATGAGAGTGAGGGACAAACAAGATGTGAGGGTGGGAAGTAGAGATGAGGACAGAGAGAAGAGATGGGGATAACTATTGGGAAAGAGGAGATCTTGGGACAAATAGGAAGACACAAATGAGGGACAGATAGACATGAGAATAAGAGAGATGAGGTAAAGACAGGAGGACAAGGATGGGGGGGACAGATGGGAATAGAGATTAGGATGAGGAAATACACAGGAATTAAGGGCAGGGATATGACACTCCTAAGGATAGATATGGGGACAAGACGGATGAACCCAAGAACCAAGCTGAGAAACTATATTGGAAGAAAGGAAACAGGCATGGGACAGAGATAAGGGCAGGCGCGGTAGATCGGGGTACACATTGTGAAGTGAATGAAATGCATACTCCAAAGAAGGGCCCCCACTGTTTCCTTGAAGCTGACAGGATGTGAACTGACAGAATCCTCACTTGGAGAGAATTGTAGACTCTGGAACCACCCACCTAACAGGTCATGCTATCACTTCTGTCCTCCCTGGCAGGTGTCTGAGTACTGGCTGAACGACATGTATCTCAATAACCGCCTGGCCCTGCCTGTCAACTCCAGCCCAGCTTTGATCTTTGCACAACAGAACTTCCAGGACACCAATGACCAGTTGAGGTGAGTCAGGAGCTCTTGGGCCCACACCTTGGGAATACTGAGGGTAGAGGATCTGGTCAATGTCCCTGAGGCAGTGTCTCTTCCAGTGACAACAGCTGGTTGGGGAGGAGATGAGGTGCAGTGAGGCTGCAATGGATAATGAACACTTGACTTTTATGTTTATTTGAGGAAGGGGGGCACACATGTAGGTCACGGGCCCCCAGGTGTGCACTGGCTGAGGCTGTCAGCTGAGGCATGTGCCTCAGACCCCGCTGCTACTAGTAACTGGGGACATGCTGCCCCATCTATCTTTGACAGCCTCTTTGCTGCCCTCCAAAACCTCCAGCTCTAAACAGAGGGTCCCAAGGGGGATGGGTTTCTCCCTGCCAGCTTCTGCCACACCAAAGCTCCACCATCTGCTGCAATTTCAGAGCTCAATGAGCTGAGGGGAGTGCTGATTGATGATGGTGGGAGCTGTACACCAGGAATGGTGATGAGGGGAGGGTCCCTTGCAGGGACTCTTAAAGCCAAACCTGAGTCCCTAATCTCATGTCCAGTATGTGCTACAGGATGGGAACAGTTAAGAGAAAGGGGGAAAAGCAAGTGCTTGCCCTCAGATTAGCTGGAGCCCATCTCTCATTCTCCGGTGGGGTTCAGCCAGGCTGAGACCATTCCCACTCCCTGAGGTGGGTCTCAGACTGACTGAAGTCGGAGAATGGCTGAAAGAGCTCTGAAAACAGTTCTCCAAATGGCTTGCAAGTGGCTAATCTCCTCCCAGTGCAATTAAGCTGGAACTCCTCATCTGTGGACAACTAAGATAGGACAGTCCCCTGGCCCCTGTTCTGGACGCCTTTTTTCCCCCAGCCTTCCTTTTCATTAGCACTAACCAGTTGTCAAAGAGTTAATTACACCTCATGGTGACCCCATATTTGTCAGAGTAGAGCTGCGTTCCATAAAGTCAGGAAGAGCCCTACCCCCTCAATCCAGTCCCTTCCGTTGCTTTTCCTGGCTCCCCCTCCCTCCCTTTGCCTCATTCACTCTTTTGATTTCCTTTCCTCCCCCTGAGATCTGCCTCACCCCATCTCTTTCCAAGGGACCCTTTTTAATCCAAAGTTTGTGAAGGGCTGACAGCATTTAGTGAAGGATGGGCAGGGGGAGGCGGGAGCAGGTGGCATATCTGAGTAGTGTAACACCAGTCTTTGTGGTGATCTTTGCATTTAAAAGGGAGGGTGTGGGATGGGAAAGAAGAGAGGGAGGGAGGAAGAAAGAAAGGGAAAGGGGGAGAAGGAAGATGGGAGAGAGAGGGAAAAAGGAAAAGAGGGGAGGCTGGCTCCTGAGAAGAAAGATTGAGCCCCAATTTCTCTTTGCAGGTTTGCAGCCAACCTCATCTCTGGTGTGCTCAGCTACAAGGCTCTGCTGGACAGGTAGGACTGCCACCGGCTAGGCAGGCTAAAGCCTGCGTAGCACAATTGTTTATGCCTCTGTCTTTCCGCTGCACTAGACAGCAGCGTTCTGCCTTCTGGATGTCCCAAGCCCCATTTGTGCGTTCACTGCCCCCCAATTCCCACAGCATTTTGATGGCTATAACCCCAACTGGCCTGACTAGGAACAGTTTGTTTTACTAAAGTAGCATCACCCTTCCTTAATCTCTTAGAAAACCCCCTCTTCCTTCCTTTGTGCCTCCCAGAGTCACATGTGGCATGATTAGTGTGTCAGGAATCAGAGAGCACATCTGAAGGTAGAGAAAGAAGAATCGGAGTGAGGAGAAGGGAGGTCCACTTGCAACGTGGGCAAGTAGAGTTTCCTCACCTTGAGCCTCTATCTTTTCAAACCCACCAAGCTTGAAGAATGGTATAGATGACTCATAGACATGGAAGTATTCTGACAGGTAGAGAGAGCTGCATAAACTCAGTGAAATGTTACTGATTTAGGAGGAAATTTCCTCTCCTGTCTAGAAGCAGTAGCAAGAGGGAGAGGGCCTGGAGAAGTCAGGGTCCCCAGACAGTGAAAATAAAGGCATCAAACGTCAGCATGAGAATTCAATCTTTGCCCAACCTTGGAGCAAAAGCTCAGAATCACAGTCACTCCAGGAAACAAGAGGGTCCCAAGATCCATAGCAGAGCAGCTCAGGTCTTGGACTCTGGAGTGGGCAGAGCTCAGTTTGAATTCCAACACCCACAATACTTCATGTGTTATCTTTGAGCAAGTCTAATTAATCCACTCAGAGTCTTTGTCTTTCGAATGGCTTGTTTTGAGGAAGACTCTTCCTCCAGCTCAGAACTCCGATTTCTCTGTACCCAGGCTCTGATTTCATATAGCCTTATCCCTCATAATACCAGTGCTTAGCAGTGGATGAGTAGATGCTGTATTTTTGGTCTGCTTATCTGTCTGTCTTGCCCATAGCTCCATTCCCTCTCCCAGCCCCCCTGGGACATTTTGCTCACTGTAATGAGCTTTCCTCTGTAGACATTTTGATACCCTTTCAAAGCCCCAGTTGACCTGACCCTATCATGTCATCTCAGTAAATGCATTAACACATAGCTAGGTGGTAAATCCAGAAATCCAGAAATCCAGATGTCGCCTGGCTCCTCTAGCCGCAGATCCCTTTTATCACAGGTGCTGTCGGCCAGCCCTCCTGAATCAGTCTCTTTCTCTTACCCACAACCCACATCACCTTCCCATCTCAGCTGCAGCCTCCCCTCTTGCTCTTCCCATGCAATCAGGGTCACCAAAAAAGCAAAACATAGATGGAAACATGCCACTAAACACGAAAGCCTTCTTGTGGCTTCTGTTGCCTGGAGAATAAAATGAAAATTTCTTACCTCCACGCATCAGGTTGTGCATAATCTGAATCTTTATGACCACGCTAGCTTTCTCTTCATGATGTTTCAACCCGTAGACTTCCTTTTTACTTTTCATAAATGTTCTCAGACAGTCTTTGGTAAAAGACCCCTTTGTTCTGTTTTCAATTTTATAAAAATTTGCATAACCAGTAACTAAACAAAAGGTGCAAAGATTCAAAACAGAAGCCAGATATTTTATTATCCTATGTTGGGTTGCTACAAAGGTCTCTGTGTTTCCTCTAAATTTTTGCTCTCCAACTGGAAACACAGAGAATCCAGGATAGATGACTCCTTCAGGACCAGTGGTGAGAGGGGCCATGCCTGGAGGGTGGAGGGAATGTGGGGTAGAAAGGGGGAACTAATACAAGAATCTAAGTATGGCTCCCCCCTGGGGGATGGACAGCAGAGCAGAGGGAAACATCGGACAGGGTAACTTATGACAAAACTATAATAATTTATGAACTATGAAGGGTTCATGAGGGAGGGAGGAGTGGGGAGGGAGGGGGAAATGGGCAACTGATATTAGGGGATAGAGTGGGAGGCAAATGTTTTGAGAATGATGAGGGCAGCAAATGTGCATATGTGCTTGACACAATGGATGTATGTATGGATTGTGATGAGAATTGTACGAGCCCCCAATAAAATAATTTTTAAAAAAACAAATAAAATTTAAAGGAAAATGTAAAAAAAAAATAATAATGAATAAATTTTTGCTCTCATTCTTTTGTGGGTTCATTCTGAAATATTGGGTTCAATAGCAGTAGCAGGGTTACAAGACACCCACTGGCCCTGACTCTTCTCAGGGCTGCCTCCTAGTCTTAAGACCCAGCTCATCCATACTCTGTATGACCACCCCTGAAACCTCCTCCTCTCCTGCTAGTCACCATCTCATTGTTCTGTGTCACTAATACAAAATAGCTTGTTTCCTGCTTTGTTATTTGGCATCTACTCCTTGCCTCTGCATCCCAGAACGTGCACTCCATTAGAGGAGAAAATTCACCTATCTAATTGGCTGTCATATCCCTGCATACCAGAATGGTGCCTGGTACAGAAGAGATGCTCAGCAAATATTTTTTGGCTGAACAAATGAATGGATTGATGGATGGAAGAAAAGGCAAGAAGAGAGAGAAAGAAAGGACCACAAGACATATTGAGACCACAGGGGAGAGTAAACTCTCTGCCTTGAACTCAGAGGAGACTTTTAGAAGAGGTGATTGAGGTCGTTAGTTTATTGTGCCAACCTGGCCGATAAACACATGTGGGGTTAATTGAAGGATGGGGGTGATAAATGGCTCAGGGAGCTTTGCCTTTTGAGTTCTCGGGTCTCTTGCCTTCTGATGGTTGCACCAGGGTGCAGCTGCCTTAGCAGTTCCCTGCTTCAGCTAGCAAGGCTGACTTCCTGCAAGACATCCCCAAGGAGAAGCCACATGGACCTACCCCGATGTAGCCCTGGGTGCTGGAGCAGCCGTGTGGAGGCCCCTGCCAGCGTTGAGATGCTTACACATTCACTGACTCGGCTTTCCTCTTGCAGTCTGTTTTGTGAGATGGAGGAGGACTTTGTGGATTGATGTTGGATATGGGTGAATGTTGGACTTGTGGGCTTGGGCAGCACTGGGTTTGGATGTTTTCTTGATGCACACTTAACCTTTTTATAAAACTCTCTCTTAGACGTGAGTTTCTGTGGATGTGTTTCTTTAAAGTACCCAGAGTGTTACAGTGATGGAGGAGGAGGCTCCGGAAGGAAAAAGGTTTTCTAAATAGATGAATGAAGAGGATGGGTGGGTGCAAGGGCAGGTTCAGCAAAGATCAGCCTAAGCAAGCAAAGTCACTGAGGGTCGAGATGGCAATGTATGAGGCAGGATGGGGATGCGTTGGTAGAGATTTGAGAAAATTCTAGCACATTCCTTTGGGAAAAAATGGGACACACCTTGACTATAAGTAAGTGGAGATTTACCTTTTTGATGCCTATTACTATGCAGGTTTAGTTTTTGTGCCCCGTTTTGCCTGATCCTGATTCCTTGTCCCTTCTCTTACCTATCTGCCCTTCCAGCCATTCCATTCCCGTCGACTGTGCAAAGGGCCAGCTGTCAGGACAACCGCTTTGTATGAAACAATATTATGGGCTCTTTTCCTCCTACCGTCTACCTGGTCACACTCAGGATATACTGGTAGCCCAGAAGAGCAGCATCATGCCTGAGCCTGAGCATGTCATTGTAGCCTGTCAAAACCAGGTAAGCAGCCTCTCCCACCCCTGTCCCTTAGGTCAAGGAGGGTTGTCAGACCAGCAATAGCCGCACAGTGTTCATCTCATCGCAAGCAGGATGGAATGGCCCAGAACTTGGGTCTTCTGACTCCTATCAGCAAATCTCCACTGATTGGCTCTAAAAACAAGAAGAACTATGAATTATGGGATACTCATTTGGACTCACATCTGCATCCCCCAAAGTCAGACAGGTAGAAAGAAGCCCTTCTTGGGCTACTGATCCTGAATACAAGCCCTGTGTGGTTATGACCTACCCATCCCAAAAGTATTACCCAACTCGTTCCCCTCCTGGAGATCACAGACAGACAAAGTTACAGTTAGACTGACTGGGTGTGCCGGCTGCGGGTTCAGCATTTAAACACATTTATCCCATGTGATCCCCACAGTGATCCATCCGGAAGGTGGAGCCTTAGAATTTGCATACCACCAGAGGACATGTCACTCAGAGAAGTCAGATAGCTTGCAAGTCAGATAGGTTAGCAAGACTCCTAGGTTTGGCCAGTGCTATGAGTCCAAGTCTGTCCTTAGAAGAGCCCAATAAGGGAGCTGTAGGACCAGGGAACAGGCCGAGGAAGAAGGCTCCAGATCTCCTCTCACTGCCCACCAGACTGTAGATTCTACATGTAAAGAGTTCACATACATATTTTATCTGACGAAAAAGGTGAAAGTCTTTTTGTTCTGTATTGGTTTTGCTTAAATAATTACAAACCATGTTTCATGATAACCGCCCATGTGCTTCTTTGGTAATTGTTTTAAGATTATATATTCTCGGGCTTATTTCACATTTTCAGTAAACCGAGAGCTCAGTGAATGTCTGCCATCTGAAGGCAGCATCTCCGGTCCTAAGTCCAGTCTAACCAGAGGCATCCCAGTCCACCCCACACCCTGGCTGGGCGGTCGCAAAATAAGAACACTTCTTTCAAAGCTTCAAGGCAACTCTTCCCCTAGTCACCGCAGTCTTCATCCAATCCAAAATTGCTCAAGGAACACCTGTTCTGGACTCAGTCTATGGCTCAGGGCTAGGCAGGGGACTCTTTCGGCCTGACAAAAATGGTATTTTGACCTATGTCAAGGGATAATGCCCTTTCCATCAAAGCTATATCCTGAAGCTCCACAGGCTTACGCCAAAAGCAAATGGAAGTGTGCATATGTATATGCACATGTCTGCACACAGCATTTTGTGTGTTGGTTTTCATTTTTAATCTTCTGACTTGCTTTGTTGTCCTCTCATCCGTGTGTTTGCCCTTGTCCTGTCATCCCTTCCAACTGCTGGGTAAATGCATTGGACAAAGACATTTTACTTAGCCATTCCCTACTGGAGAACATTTAGGTTGTTTTTACTGTTTGCTATTGCAAAGATATGCACATTCCTCGATCTGTCTTCTGGTGTACACAGGTGGACATGTTCCTAAACCTTAGACTAAATTATGTTTTAAAAATATAATTGTTTGCTGAGTCATAAAATACAAACATTTTTAAAAAATTTCATAGACCCTGTCTTTTAAGAGGAGTTATACCAATTTATACTCCTCCAACAATGAGAACTCAGATGTCCACAAATACGATGGTTTTACATGAACTACATAGCACAAAACCACGTTTTCTTTTAGTGAAGTTTTATCTTTGAATAGTTTTAAGTTGGTCCCGACATTGTTACCACTCAGAACACCAAGTACTAGGGGACCTAGGTGTGATATCGATCCCTCGATCCAGCTAAAGTTGTCACTTGGGCCCCCGTGCGGAGCTCTGCAGCCACGAGTGACATGTTTGACCTGTTTTCCCACAGTTCTTTGTCTTAGACGTTGTCATTAATTTCCGCCGTCTCAGTGAGGGGGATCTGTTCACTCAGTTGAGAAAGATAGTCAAAATGGCTTCCAACGAGGACGAGCGCTTGCCTCCAATCGGCCTGCTGACGTCAGACGGGAGGAGTGATTGGGCCGAGGCCAGGACTGTCCTCGTGAAAGGTTAGCAGCAGCGCCTGGCACCTATCCATGCTCATCTCACCCTCATCCTCCAGGGTCTGGGGCCATGGATTCATCACCACCACACACAGCAGATGACCAGCCCTTCCAGAGGCCACTGCAGGAGCCTTATTCATTGGGCTGCCATTCGAATGGTCGGTTGTTCGAAACCACCAGCCCCTCCGCGGGAGAAAGACTAGGCTTTCTACTCCGGTAACAGTTTCCGTCTCAGAAATCCACAAGGGATGGCTATGAGTTAGCATTGATTTGATGCCAGTGAGTTTTAGGTAAAAGGACAAACCCTATTGTGCCCACCATTCACTTGCACCTTGTGGCTTTCTGGGCAAGACTGACCAGGAGAAAGACACACGCTATCTAGAGCTGTAGTTGTACAACGATTCTTGGATATGGTTGTTTGAGCCAAAAGAAGATGACTGCAGTGAAGTCATCGCGGTTCCTGGAGGGCAGGGGTGAGGCTCATTTTGGTGGTCCGGTCGCTGGGGATCTGCGGGTAGTGAAAAGTCCAGGGACTTTACACCTTTAAATGGATCTTTATCTTTCTTTCTGCTGGGGTATTGCTTTCGTGAAAATCTCTAGGCATTCCTGAAAGAAAGCCAGTAATATTCTAAAACTATTTTTCAAATCCAGAAATAGCCCCTATCCCAGGAACTGGTTCCAGAAAGCCAAACTCACTACCATCGAGTCAGTTCTGACTAACAGCTACCCTTTAGGACAGAGTAGAACTGTCCCTGTGGATTAAGCGTTGGGCTACTAGCCATAACATTAGCAGTTCGAAGCCACCAGGCGCTCAGTGGGAGGAAGTAGAGATGTTCTACTCCCATAAAGAGTTACAGTCTTGGAAACCCAGGCAGGTGGACACTGGGCAAAGCTGCCAGCTCAGGAGGAATCAGATCAGCCTGCTCAGCAGGTTTCCAAGCGGTGGTTGTGCTAGACATCCTAGGAGGTGAGAAAGGGGTAAGGACAAGAAATTGTACTTTCTGGTCCCCCCTCCCTTGGAGGTTTTCTCTGCAGGCATGGCTGGCTCTTGGTAACATCAGTTTCGGAGTCAACACCTCAGGACCCTTTGCATGTCCCTTTCTCATACCTGTATACTGCCCCAGAGTCTCGTGTCATTGTCTTGGTTTTATTTCTCATTCTCTAAAAGTTGATTTTCATTTATTTGATAAACATTTACTGTATGTCTTCCACCTCTAGCCTCTAAAGTCCAGGAGAATAGCGTCCTTGTTTGTTTGATTTTCCACATAAATCTGCTGTGCCCAGCACAGTAGGGACTGAATTATATTTGTTGAAATGAAGAATGAAGTATTACTACATTCAGTTATTGGGTACTTGCTGCATACTCAGTCCTCATGGCAGGTGACACTGCCACAAGGAGGTGGCACTGACCCTGTTCCTATGGACCTGACCACCAAGTTAAGAACTTAGTCACTCATTTGAAAGAGGAGCCCTGGACAGGTAATAGCTAATGCTCAGCTACTAACCCAAAAGTCAACAGTTCTAACCCACAACCTGCTCCATGGGACAAAAAATAAAGTTAGGAATTTGTTCCTATAAATATTACAGCTTAGGAAGTCCTGTAAGGCCAACCTAATCCGTCACACTAGGCTGCTATGAGTCAGAATTAATTGAATAGCACACAACACCATTTGCGAGTGAATTCATTCCCATGGGAGGCTGCTATGAGTCAGAATTAATTGAATAGCACACAACCCCATTTGCGAGTGAATGTATTCCCATGGGAGATCACAATGTGATCCGATCCCACTTCTCTTCCATCTAGGGACAGAGATAGGCACAATCACTTCTGCTTCTTCTATGGTCTCCACTTTATTAGTGGTCAGGTCCATGTCATCTCCCTCTAAGACTGACCAGGATTACCCTCAGGCCTGAGTGCTTAGGCATAAACTAATTGAAATTAATTTGTTAATGGCATTTGATTTCTCTTTCTGAATTGAAATGCTGTTGCTTGCACCAGCAAAGAGAGCAAACTCGGGCCTTCCTGTTAGAAACCCAGTTCATCCATTTAGCAACAATTGTGTCCGCAGCTATGGGAGGAAATCCTAGTCATCCCTTCTAGCCACAGTAAGGGAACACAGAGACTATGCAAGAGATTGTTCAAACTTAAAAATGAAAGATTATGGGAGCTTGGTTTAGAGATGGGAATGAAAATGAAAAGAGATGAATTCAGTCTGGATATATTTTGGAAGTAGAATTAGAATCAGTAAGAAGGAAAAGAGAAGTGGAAATGATCACTAGGGGTTTTTTGTTTGAGCAATTGGGTGGATAGTGGTAGCATTTACTGAGATGGGAAACATGTTGGGGGAATAACTATGGAATGGATAAATCGTTTCCAAATATATTAGGTTTGAGATGCCTTGAGTCATCTAATTGGAGATGTCATGTTAGATCTATGTGTCTGAAGCTCAGAGGAGAGGTCGAGCCAAAGAGATAAATCTGAGAGCCATCAACATGTAAGTGATATTTAAAGTCATAGGCCTGGATGAGATCATCCAGAAATAGAAGAACAGAAGCCCTCGGGTCATGTAGAGAAAGAATGAAGAGGACCGCAGAATAGTGAAAAGAAAGCCAGGAGATGAGTCACAAAGATGCAATAGGGAAGACGGCTTTGGGAGAAGGAGGTAGCCAGCTATGTGGAATTCTGTTAAGGGGTCCTGGTTTGCAGAAGCACCAACTGGAGACCTACTCATTAGCATAGTAGCCAGCATATGTCATGCTCCCGCTTGGTGTTGAACCCTGACTTAAGTGCTTTCTGCCTCATTGCGGCTATAAATCTTCAGAAGATGAAGATGCATGCCCCCGAAGTTAGGCATAACATCACAAAGGTGGTAAGTGGGAGAGCTGGGGTTAACTTCTAAAAGCATCTGGCCTCCAAGCCTGTGATCTGCTGGGCCTAGGTGTCACGAAAGGACGAAAGAAGAGCTGGAGGCCCCAGAGGGAGCTGCACATCTTCTCAGGACTTCCTTCCCACAGAGCCCCCCTAATCCCAGGAGAAGCCAACAGAGTTATCCTGGTCTGGAAATTTAATTAAACACTCAGCCCCGAGTCTGGAAGACTGCAGCACTTGTCAATTTGTAGGAAAAGGATGGTGGCTCAGAAAGCTCCCGAGCCGCCGGCTTGCCTGGGTGCCTGCTTGGAGACACTGAGCAACAGACTTGCAAGGCAGATGTTCTGCATTTGCATAGCCCCGTCGATATTTATGCCCAGCAGGCAATTAGAGCCATGCACCATCTTCATGAAGGTCTCTGGCAATTGACAGAGTCCTCAGTCTTGGTTTGCAGATGTGCTCAAGATGGGGCATTTGTCTAGTTAAACACTGTCATCCGGAGTTCAGCAGCAAGTCTAGTTTTAAAACCAACTGCATATTAGCAAGAATAGTCTCTCCAATTTAATTGGTGCAGGATTATCTCCTGAGCACTTGAGGATGACTGCTGTTGTCTTTCTTTTTGGAGAAGGTGAGAACAATGCCTCTTCCCCACAATAAAATGAATAGATAATAGATTTTTAATGCATCAGGAGTTTCGGGGTGGTGCAAACTATTAATGCACTCAGTAGTTATCAGAAAGGGTGGAGGTTCGGGTCTACCCAGAGGCAACTTGGAAAAAAATCCTGACTACCTACTTAAAAAAATCAGTCATTAAAAATCCCCACCACACCAGCGTGAACCTCTAAGGGCATGCAACAGAGCAGCAAGGGGAGCAAAGCAATGAAGTCCCCGGGGAATACAAAAAATAGACTTTGGGGTCAAGGTGTGGCACTCCATCGGACTCAACCGAAAACACCTGGAACTATTTATAGGCTTTTCTTTTTGGTGTTGCTTTGTTTTCTTTTGCTCTGTCTTGTTTTTTCTGCTTATTATTGTCTCTGCACATCTATCTAGATAAGATAGGTGGGGTAAACAATCCAGAGGAGAAAACAAGGCAACTAATGGTTCTGCGGGGACACGGAGGAGGCAGGGGAAAGGAAGTGGGTGTTAACAAACCCAGGGGACAAGGGAACAAGTGATCTAAAATCGATGGCAAGGAGGGCGTAGGATGCCTGAAAGGCTTAATCAAGGACAATGTAACCGAGAGGAATTACTGAAACCTAAATGAAGGCCAAACATGATAGTGGGACAAAAGGAAAGTAGGAGGAAATAGAGGAAAGCACTAGGAGACAAAGGACATTTATAGAGGTCTAAATACAGGCATATACATATGATAGGGAAATAGATCTATGTGCATATATTTCTGTTAAGTGTTAAGATAGCAAATGGACGTTGGTCCTCTACTCAAATACTCCCTCAATGCAAGAACACTTTGTTCTATTAACCTGGCATTTCATGATGCTCACCTTCCTGACACGATCACTAAAGACAAAATGGGTGCGTCCGCAAACATGGTGAAGAAAGCTGATGGTGCCTGACTATCAAAAGATATAGCATCTGGGGTCTTAAAGGCTTGAAGATAAACTAGCAGCCATCCAGCTGAGAAGCAACAAAGTCCACATGGAAGAAGCACACCAGTCTGTGTGATCATGAGGTGCTGATGGGCTCAAGTATCGGGCATCAAAGACTCAGAACAAAAAAAATCATATCAATGTGAAGGAGCAGGAGTGCGAAGTGGAGATCCAAATCCGATCTGCAGACAATTGGACATCTCCTTACAGTAGGGTCTCAAGGAAGAGACAAGCCAGTCAGGGTCTAACACCAATGAAATACACAGCTTTCCTCTAGTTCTTTAATGCTTCCTCCCCCCCACTGTCATGACCCCAATTCTATCTTACAAATCTGGCGAGACCAGAGCATGTACATGGGGACAGCTAAGAGCTGGAAACACAGGGAATCCAGGACAGATGAACCCCTCAGGACCAATCATGAGAGTATCAGTATCAGAGCAATATCAGGAGGATAAGGGAAAGGTGGGGGGAGAAAAGGGGAACCAATCACAATGATCTACATATAACCCCCTCCCTGGGGGATGGAC